AGAGGCAGCAGCACAGCTGCGCAGCACAGCAGCAAAAGCCGGCTAGCTAGCTACTGGGGCTCAGCCTGGCTGCTGCTGCTGCTGTTGTTTCTCTTTTTGCTGCTGGTGTTGTTCCTCTTTTTCCTGCTGCTGCTGCTTCTCCCTTTGCTGCTGCTGCTGCTTTTCCCCTTGCGACGGCTGCTGCTTCTTTCTTCGTTGCTGCTGCTGCTGGTTTCTTTGCTGCTGCTGCTGCCGCTTCTCCCTTTGCTGCTGCTGCCGCTTCTCCCTTTGCTGCTGCTGCTTCTCCCTTTCCTGCAGCTGCTGCTTCTCCCTTTACTGCTGCTGTTGCTGCTGCCGCTTCTCCCTTTGCTGCTGCTGCTGCTTCTCCCTCTGTTGGCCCCAGCCCAGATGCGTGCTGCAGCCAGCTAGCTAAAGAACCAGCCAGCTAGCTAGCTAGCCAGCTAGCCAGCCAGCTAGCTAGCCAGCTAGCTAGCTAGCCAACTAGTGTGTGAGTTGCTGCTTCAGTCTCTTTGAAGCAGCCTGAGGTCTGTGGGTCTGTGTGTCTTTGCCCCGCCGTAGGACGTGTGCCTTTCTGCTGCTGCTGCACCTGCTGCTGCTGCTGCTGCTCCTGCTGCTGCTGCTGCTGGCTGCACAGGGCCCACAGGCAGTTCCCCCTCAAGTCCCAAGTCCAATCTTAGGGCCGCCTCGGCCCCCCTGGGTTCAATTTGAAACCCCGAGGGGGCCCCCAGGGGGCCCCCCTGGGGGGCCCCGTGGAGGCCCCCCTGGGGGGCCCCCAGGGGGGCCCCTATAGGGATGGGGGCCCTTACTGTGGGGGCCCCCTGGGGGCCCCCCCTGGGGGAGGGCTGCGGGGGGGCCCCCAGGACCCTTCGGGAGACCTCTGGGGAGGCCCCTGGAGACCCCACAGAGACGATCCCAGACGATCCCAGGGGGCGGGGGCCCTTGCGGGGGGCCCCCGGGGGCCCCACCTGCAGCAGCAGCTGGCTGCGCTGGAGGGGGGTTTTAGGGGGGCCCCCCTGGGGATCGGGATCGGCTTTGCTGGGATCGTCTCCAGCAGACGATCCCAGCGGAGACGCGGGAGCAGCAGCAGCAGGGGCGCCCTCTGCTGCTGCTGCAGGATAGTGGGGAGGCTCTGCTGCTGCTGCTGCTGCTGCTGCGGGGTGGTCTTCTCCTGCTGCGGCGGGCTGGTCCCCCTCTTCCGCTGCTGCTGCTGGGCGCTCCTCGGCCGCTGCAGCGCTCTGCTGCCCCCCCTCCCCTGCTGCTGCTGCTGCTGCTGCTGCTGCTGCTGCTGCTCGGGGCTGCCTGCGTACGGCGTCGCTGAGCTTTTTGAGGGCCTCTTCAGCCCTTCTCTTTCTGCGCTGCCACTTTGCTGCTGCTCTGTTGATTTCTTTCATTTGCTGCTGGTCGAGAGTTGCTGCTGCTGCTGCTGCAGTCTCCTGCAGCACCTGCAGGTAGGCCTGTGCCCTCCGCCGAGTTGCTGCTGCTGCAGTCTCCAGGGCCAAAACTGCTGCTGCTCTTTCCTTCTCCAGCTGCTGCAGCACTTCGGGGCTAATAGACTTGCCCTCAGCAGCACTTTGCAGCGCTGCTGCTTCTGCTGCAGTTCGCTGCAGCGCAGCAGCTTCCAGCGGCCCCAGGGGCTTCAGGGGGGCCCCCCCGGGGGGCTCCCCCCCCGGGGGGCCCCCCATCCGGACCAGGGGCCCCCTCGGGGGGTGGGCCCTATAAAAGGCCTCAGTGAACTCCTGGGGCCCCATTTGAAGGGCCTCTTGGGCCTCCGCGAGGGCCTCCAAGGCTTGCTTCCTTGCTGCTTCCACTGCAGCAGAGGGGGCCCCCCCGGGGGCCCCCCCGGGGCCCCCCCCGGGGTCCCCCTCGGGGGCCCCCCCGGGGGGCCCCCCAGGGGGGCCCCCTGAGTCTTGGGCATTTTGGGCCTCCTCAACAGCAGCAGCCCAAATGTCAATGGATTCCATTAGCTGCTGCAGCCGCGAATTAATAAAAGACTTTCTTTGGGATTGCTGCTGTGGGGTCTCAGCAGCAGAAGCCCTGGGGGGCTTGGGGGGCCCCTGGGGGCCCCCAGAGGTGGGGCCCCCCTCGGGGGGGGCCCCCTGGGGGGCCCCCTGGGGGGATCCCTCTGCAGTCTCTCCTTCAGAGTCTTCTGGAGGGGCCCCCGAGGGGGCCCCCTGGGGCCCCTGGGGGCCCCCCTTGGGGCCCTTCTTGAGGGCCCCCCTGCGGGGAAAACCCTTGAAGAGGCGCAGCGGGAAAGAAGGGCGTTTTTTTGCTCTTGTATTTTTGTCTGTTGTTTTTGCTGCTTTTTCTCTTTTGCTGCTGCTTTGGGCCCCCTGTTTTGCTGCTGCTGCTGCTGCTGCTGCTGCTTTTGGCTCCGCGTAAAAGGCCTCCACCTGTCTCCAAACTGTTGCAAAAGTGTCTCCAACATGCAGGTCCCAGGCTCGCTCGGGGGGCGCTGCTGCTGCTGCTGCTGCTGCTGCTGCTGCTGGCGTTGATCCAGTTGCTGCTGCTGCACCAGGAGCTGCTGCTGCAGGAGCTGCTGCAGCAGCGACAGGAACCAGCGCGAGGTGCTCGTGCCGTGGCGCCGCCTCTGCTGCTGCTGCTGCCGGCATCAATTGCTGCTGCTGCTGCTGCTGCTCGGGAGCAGCAGCAGCAGCAAGCTGGGCCCAAAGGAGCCACAGGGCCGCCGCAGCAGCGGCGCAGGAAGTTCGCCCGGCCATTGGAGTTCAGGTGTACGTACACCGCAGCGCAAAGTGTGGGGTGCGGCGGAGACGATCCCGGAGACGATCCCGGAGACGATCCCGGAGACGGAGGAGACGATCCCGGGATCGGAGGCGATCCCAGGGGCCGAGTCTTTTCTAAAAAGCAAGTAAAAATAAACTAATTCAAAGTCTCAAAAGTTTAACTTATAAAACCAAAAGACTGCTGCTGCTGTTGCTGCTGCTGCTGCTGCAGCACAGGACCACTCTGGTGTCTCGAGGCCGCCGGGCCGCCGGCGCGGCAGCAGGAGGCGCAGCAGCAGCAGCAGCAGCAGCAGCTGCTGCTGCTGCTGCTGT